ATATTCTGGTTGAAAGTGATCCTTCCATGTCTAAGGCAGAAGATGTTGGTGGTGAAGACAATGTCGCAATTGAAGAAGCTACTTTCAGCACCCATGTGCAGCTTTGTCGGCCTCAAAGGAAGTTTGAGAGCAATTATGGTCTTGAGGATGAGTCATACGCTTCGAGTGGCTACCAATCTCTTCTGAGCAGACTTATGCTACCTTTACTGCCATACATCCAATTAGATCTGAGTCATCAGAATCTTCACCAGAGTTCTAACTTTCTGTTGATTCTCCATTGTTGGGTCTCGCGGTTACTTGCGAAGGGAAATTTTTCAATGTGGCTCCTGAATTGAATAAAGATATTTACTGGTGTAAGAATCAAATCACTGATAAGCCCTTTGTGTCAATGACACACCATAGCCGTTGTGATCACCGTATGCTGGGTTTCTCTGAAGCGTCACTCATGATGTCTTTATCAACATTGGGGAGCATATCTTTGCTCAAAATGGAGCTCTTGCTAAACTCTCGCAGAAAAAGTTGGAGTGATGCCTACCTTTTCCCTCGTTGATCTAACATTCCTTGTCACCACATTTCTTAGAGGTTGATCTCAAGGCAAAGAAGAGTTTACTTAATGCTTCTGGGCCCATGACATCTGGTTGCTCCTGAAATTGGTTGTATCAATGAGAATTTTACAAAACTTCACGTTAGGATTACATCTGTAACTCCTGTTTTGATCAATGACTTTTATAAGTGTCCAAACGAGGTTACTTCCAAACCTTCTGTTTCTATGGACACTCTGGCCTCTGTTCTCACTGCCAAAGTGTTGAAAAAATGGCCTGGTCCGAAATATGCTTCTCATGTCTTTAAGCTGGCTCAACTGTATTCGGTCCTGTTCAAGATAGGCATTTCCAACTGGTTTCCCACTAACCACAATGCCACTCTCAATCCCACCCAAGATGAATTTTTATGGTGCATCACTCATGACCATAAAATCAATATTGGTGATTAGATTTTCAATCAGATTAGTGTGTTAGCCAATTCCCGAACCGAGCGTGAGCATCTGCCGTTTCTTTCTTTGATAAATCAGCTCTTGATCAAACAAGGCCTGCCCACTCGTGATGCCACTCTGTTGGATCCTCCTGGCCGTCCAATCACTATCCATGGTAAGGTCCTTTCTGAACATTTTGCTGATCTGCCTCCTATCGATCCTTCTGTTGTTCAGACGGTCTCTCGCGCGAAAAAGGATCCCATTGTCTCTGTTTCTATTCCGCCGCCAGTTGATGTGGTCATCAAAGATGAGCTCACTCGTTTTTATGAGTCTATCCAGGCTCAGCTTGCTCAGGGATTTTCGTCTATTCAGGACCAGCTTCTTAAGACTTTGGCACAGTCTGGTCAGAAAGGGGGAGTAGCAACAACTCCAGATGCAACTCCGCATGCCCCAGCAAAAACTTCAATGATGAAGCAGCAGTCCACAACCGCAAGGCAAAGCGTCCAGCAATTCTCATGATAATGATCAGCTCTCCGACTATGATTATAGGGAAGTTTTCTTGAAAAACTTTTTTGTTGTCCTTTTTGAACTGCTTAAATTTATATCTTATTTAGGACTGTTATAGTTATGATTACTTTCCTGTTTTTTGGATATCATCTTGGTTATCTTTATTTTGTGCCTTGGGCTTGTTTTGGATAACTTTGTGCTGCAGGAAATTTCTCTGTTACAACAACTTCTATTGTACTAACAGTATGTGATGCAGGGGGAGTTAATCATTTCTGCAAAAAGAGAAAATCTCATATGCAGGGGGAGTTCTTGTTAAATATGGATTCTGACCAATCTATGCCAAAGGGGGAGATTGTTGGCGCCATATTTCCGGCTATTGAAGATCGAGGAAATCCGCCAAGTTTTGGAATTAAAAGATTGGCAAAGATTTGTTTTCCATATTTATTTTGGAATTTATTAGAGTCCTATTCTTATAATACTTCTATTAGGACTTAGATTTATTTCCATGTATTTTATTCTAGTTAGGTATCTTTTGTACTTATCTAGAATAGAAGTAGAAATCAACTAGGATTCTATTACCTAGTTACATAGATTTCTTGGGGTTCAAGTTAGGTCTTAGGGCTTATTTTCGTGGCTATATAAGCCTCCAAGACATACAAGAACCGTGGGCATTATTTGGGAGAAAAACCACTTCATAGCATCGAAGCTTTGCCAAGGCGTTCTGCGGAGCAGGACTGTGCCATCGTTGCATTGTGCCAACATATACAGATTTGCTGTATAGATCTCAAGGGAGATCAGCCGCGTTATCTGAAGGGAGTTCAGGCTTGAAGAAAGTTCAAGGCACGCGGAGTGGAGCTGCTGTAGAGAGAGACACGGAGTTCGAGTTGTGTACAAGAACGGCGTAAAAATTAAAGATGGAGTCTTTATTATTTTTAATAAGTCCTATTAATGTACACTGTAAATCTGAACTAGTGAAATCGTGTTTGCAGGTCCACGTGGATGTAGGGCACATTTGTGTCTGAATCACATTAATTCCTTGTGTTCATTTATTTGCTTTAAGTAGTTTATAACTGTGTTAACACAAGAATTATAGTTGTAACTGAATACTGTTTCCACAACTTAACTGTTACAACTTAGGTTAATTGATTTCTATAGGCATATAAATCAACAGAAGCAAAATGAGTTGGAAATTGCGACAAGGCCAACAGAGAACAATCAATGGTATTTATATTGACTTTGATTTTTATTCTTATGCTCTTCTTTAACAATGGCATTAAATCAATGGTTAAGTTAATGTATTTTATACAATCAGCGTCCCTTTTAAATATGAATAATAGTCCCACACCATTAAAAAGTTTGTCTTGTATATGCTTTATGTATACGGATTTGAGATTGTGGATGTCTACCATGTAATTTTTTTTCTTTTATTTTCAAATAATAATAAATTCACTATGGCCCCATATACTTTAACTTTTTCCTATGTTAATATACTATTTTATGTCATTACCTGACCTCAATTAATTAGTTTCACTTAATGTATATTAATATTTTGTATGTCCCAGGTGACTCAAAAGATTTTACAATTCAAATGCATCATGGAGGAAATTTTCTAAATCTCGGTTTACGATATTATGCTGGAGGTAAAGTTGACCACTTTGACAATTGTAATGCTGACACGATGTCGATGAGAGGAATACATTCCATGTCCGTTGAATTGGGTCACTATAAATTAGGTGATAATTGTGTTGCATTGAGATATTATCACACTTTAGGAAGACCTTATGATTGCACTGCTGTTAAAGAATTGCTTAATGACATCGATGCAATGAACTTGGAGAATTTTGTTGACGGGGATAAAGTGGTTGGTGTTTTTGTTGAACATATGAACTTAGCAGAATTCAACAAAGAAGATGATAATGAGCAATTTGTATGCACTGCCTTTGATGATAATGATAATGAAAGTGTGGGTGAGATTAGGGTCGGTGCTATTAATACAGAAGATTCTGATTGTGATAGCAATGAACAATCATATGGCGACGATTCTGAACACTCTGATAAACTACATGATAGTGAATATGATGATGAGATATATGACAAAAATATTGATCTGGATGTTGAATGGAATGGGGCGGTTTTGTGCCAAAATGCTAATAACGAGGCTTTAGTTTGTCGGAGTGATGCTACAAAAGGGGATTTTGAATACAACCATGCATATCCGCTTATGTTCAATCCTAAAGCAGATATGGCTGATCCAAAGTTCGTTGTTGGATTATGTTTTTCATCAACCGATATTTTTAGAGCAGCTGTGAGAAGACACTCTATGAAGCATGGAAGAGATATTACATTTTTGAAAAACGATCCTCATAGAGTTAGAGTAAAGTGTAAGGATGAGCAGTGTTAGTGGATGGTCTATGCGTCTTATAAGCATGGTGAAAATACAATGCAAATCAAGACTCTTGGATCAGAATATAGTTGTAGTAGGCAGAGCAAAGTTTCAGCTGCAAATTCCAGATTTTTGGCCACTAAATACCATGACCACATACGGACCAACCCTTCTTGGCCTATTACATCCATGATGACTGTTGCACAAAAGGAGTGTCAGTTAGAATTTTTAAGCTTTCAGTTGTACAGAGCTAAGAGAAAAGGGTTGGAACAGGCTAGTGGTAGTGAGAAAGAGCAATTTTCAAGGTTATGGGATTATGCAGAGGAAATCAAAGCAACAAATCCCGACACTACGGTGAAAATAAAGAGTCATATTGGTGAAGATAATGTGCTGAGATTTCAGAGAATGTATATTTGTTGGGGAGTACTGAAAACTGGATTGTTAGAGGGTTGTAGGCCTCTCATAGGGTTAGATGGTTGTCATTTAAAGGGTCCAAGTGGAGGGATCCTTCTAACTGCAGTTGGTATTGATGGAAACAACAGTATGTACCCTTTTGCCTATGCTGTTGTTGAAAAAGAGAAGACTAAATCATGGTTATGGTTTTTGGAGCTTTTAGTTGAAGATTTGGACATTAGTAATAGTTACACGTGGACTATAATGTCAGATAAGCAGAAAGGTTTAGTGGAAGCTGTTGAAAAATTGTTACCGGATGCTGAGCACAGATTTTGCGTTTTGCATTTGTACAACAATTTCAAACTGAGTCACAGAGGATTGCGTTTGAAGGAACTTTTGTGGAGAGCAGCATCATCAACAAGAATTGTGGACTTCAATGCAACAATGAATGAGTTGAAGAATGTTGATAGTAAGGCATTTCAGTGGTTGTCAGCTAGATCACCTCAACATTGGTCTAGAGCTTACTTTAGTACTTACTTGAAGTGTGATATGCTTCTTAACAACCTATGTGAGAGCTTTAATGGAATGATAAGAAAAGCTAGAGAAGAACCAATAATCTCGATGCTTGAGTTGATCAGAATAATGTTAATGAGAAGAATTCATCGACAAAGGGACTTGGTCGGTAAAAGTAGTAGCAGATTGTGTGCAAGAATCCAACTTAAGCTGGATTAAGTCAAGAAAGAAGCCATGGCGTATAATGTTGAGTGGAATGGGCATGAACAATTTGAGGTGATTGGTGCATTTCAGGAAAAAATTGTAGTACACTTGGGTGAAAAAACTTGTAGCTGTAGAAAGTGGAATGTTTCGGGGGTACCTTGTAAACATGCTATTGTAGGTATGTTTTATATGCATTATCCACCTGAAGAGTTTGTGGTTGATTGCTACAAAAAAGAGGTGTACTTGAAGGCTTATTCGAGGATGATGAACCCAATGCATGGCCCTGACGAGTGGCCAAACTCTAATAGAAGCCCGCTACATCCTCCTATTGTGGAAAAGCTTCCAGGCAGACCGAAGAAGGCTAGAAAGAAGCAACTCGGAGAAGAAGTTACAAAAAATGGCAAAAAAAACATCAAGAAAAGGGACAAAAAGTAGATGTTCTATTTGCAAAGAATATGGACATTACAAACGCACATGCCCCAAAAAGGATGATAATGTTGGAGTAAGAACAGAAGTTTCTGCCATTACTAAACTAAAGGTAACTTTAACTTTAGTTTATAATAAATTTTTGCTTGGATTTAACTTGGGCTTACTATATTATTATTGGTTGTAGGTGAGAAGGAAGAATACATTTTCAAGAGCTCAGCCAGATGCAATAATATCTACTCAACCAGCTCCAAGATTGAGTATATCCCAAGATGGTGGCTTTTAGACATAGAGATGGTGTGTGTAGATTTTTTTGAAAATGCCTATTAATATATACTTTTGGGAATGATCGTCTGATAAATTTTTTTGTCAAGGATCTTGATATTAGGTTGATTTGATTTTGAATGCTTTTGATGCCTTAAACTTGACGTATGTTTGATTGGTTTCTTATAAACTTTCAACTTTTTTTTTGGTCAACAATGATTATCTGATGTTATTTACAGATTTTGATTTACTATTATATATTTTGGTTTGCTTGTTGTACATGTACGTTTAATTTGCGAAGTTTGATTCTTGTACATGTTCTGTAAGTGAAAGTGAAAATAAAGTTGAAAAAAAAAAATTATTGTTATATATTGTGGTTTCATTGTTGTACATGTATTGTTTAATTTGCAAAGTTTGGTTCTTGTACATGTTCTGTAAGTGAAAGTGAAAATAAAGTTTAAAAAAATAAAAAATTACTATTATATATTTAGGTTTCATTGTTGTACATGTATTGTTTAATTTGCAAAGTTTGGTTCTTGTACATGTTCTGTGAGTGCAAATAAAGTACGAGGAAAACAACATTTACATTATAGTACATGAATCAAGATAAAGACTGCTGGCAACTTTTGACATAAGTTTACAGTATAATTCAACAACTATCAATTAAAATTCAAGTTTACAGTACATTACAATAACAAATACATTGACTGCATAAAAGGTTCAACATCTAGTCCTAAACACCATACATACCATACACCCCATACAAATAGATGCACGAATAAACCTCAAACTAGAAATTATCAAAACCATTCTTTCACATACTGTTACACATAATCGACAATAAACGAAAACTATGATTTGCAAAAAGGCTAATACACGATAGATAGGAAGACCAACAACATAAATAATAAGACACACTTGGTTCCAATTCGAAAATAAGTTGTTTTTTGTTTTTCTCATTCGAGGTATTTGACCATGTACGGACCTTCGAGCTTGTATCCTAACTTTATATAGTAATGCCTAGTTCCTACACCTGAAATAACACATATATTTGTCGACTTGTGCTCTCTAAGAGCAATCCACTCTGTTTCAGCTTCTCTTCCATGAACTGGAATTGCGTAAACATGTAACTCGCGAACAATGGAACACTTTCCAATGAGCTCTGGACATGTTACATTCTTTCCACATTTCCGTAAGCCAGGAATTATTTGTGGCTCTGTTTCCCATGAAAGGATCCAATCACGCAACAAATGCACAACCACTGCATTTAGTAAAAAGGGTAAATAGCACTTTACCCCCTTGTGGTTTCAAGTTGTTGCACTTTACCCCCCTGTCATATCAATATAGGCCTTTTACCTCCCTGTGGTTTGCACAATGTAGCGCCCGTCAGTATATCCGTTAAATGTTAACGGAGGATGGTTAATGTCTAAAATACCCTTCTAATTTCTTACAATTTACACGCCCTAACCACGACCCTCATACAGGTGGTAAATCGTTTCCCCCAAATTCACACAACTCACCCTAAATTCCCAAATTAACTCTTCTGGATTTCACAAGCTTCAATCGTATTCAACCAGTTCTTCGCAAGATTAGGGAGTTAGTGCTCAAAGAATGTGATTACGACAATAAGAAGGTGCAAAGAAGGTGAAAGAAGGTGCTTGCACAATACATCGAATTGCGAAGGAGTCATGGAAGTTCCCAAGTAAGTTATTCATTTTAATTTCTTCTTCGTCAATATTTATGCAATATTTATGCTGATTTTTGTTTTTATTTCGTTAAATAGAGATACCCAGGTTTTTCGTCCACAATTTTTTTTTATGATATGGCTCGAATCCCTAATTTATCTGAGCGAAATACTGAAATTTTTTATTGGTCTCAGATTTTGCCCTTATTATATTGTTCGAATTGTCTCTTTTATGTCACTTTGTCTGCTTTCAATGTGTATTGTGGTCCCTGTTCGATTTTTTTATTCTTTGGAAGAATGGTCCCAATTTTGGACCAATTTTTATCCACTTGCAGTACATAATTAGCTATTATCTGGAACTTTTTTTATATTCTTTCAGCTCTAATTATGTACTGAATATTATGCATTATGTAATTTCCCAATTTTGGACCAATTTTATCCACTTGCAGTACATAATTAGCCATTATCTGGAACTTTTTTTTATATTCTTTCAGCTCTAATTATGTACTTAATCTTATGCATTATGTATTTTTTTCTTATTATAGGAACCCTGTGACTATAGAATTCCATTATGGAGGAAATTTTATGTGGAAACCTATGATCAAGTATGTTGGAGGAATGGTGGAGTTTTTAGAAATTGAAGATAGAGCCACACTGTCTTATATGTACTTTGAGCAGTTGTATCACTCTCAGTTGGGAATCAATGAGGGATGTTTGATCTACTATAGAGTGGCTGGTGAAACTTTAGATAGAGGTTTGAAAAAATTAAAGGGGGATGAGGATGTAATTCAGATGGTTACAGCTTATGAAGGCCTAGATGTCATTTGCATGTATGCAGAAAATGTTGAAGAAGAAGATGGGAGAAATATTGATCCAGAAGATGAAGATATTGATAAAGCTATTAATGAAGTGTTTGCAGAGATGTTTCCAGAAGCTAATGAACAAGAAACAAACCATCAAGAAGAACAACAAGAAGAAAATCAGCAAGAAGAAGAAGATGATGATAGTGATGATGAAGATTATGAAGAAGATGAAGATAGACCACCATCTGAAGTCAGTAGTCATCCTAGCTGGTTTGAAGAAGGCCTGGAGGTCCCACATGATGATATTTTTATGAGTGAAACTATTGGAAAAGAGGCAAGTAAGGGTCTTGGTGTGCAAGTGGAAGAATGGTGGTCTGATTGTGGAGATCCTATGGAAGCTGAAGACATCTTGAATAGTGATGCTGAAGGTGAACAGTATGAGGAATTCAATGAGGCTACTGGCATGAAGAATCCTGTTTTGTCTGTAGGGTTGAAGTTCTCCACACCACAACTTTTTAGAAAAGCTATGGTCAGATGGAATGTACTCAGAGGTCATGCTATCACCTACATAAAGAATGAGAACAAAAAAATAACTGCCAAGTGCAAGCAAGACTGTGGCTGGAGGATTCATGCATCACCTATTGGCAATACATCAACATTTCAGATCAAGTCATTCATATCAGAGCACAAGTGTGGAAGAGTACATGAAAATGGACATGTAAATTCCAGATTCTTAGCTGAAGAATATCTTGATGATTTGAGAGACAACCATGAAATAAAAGTGAAGTCCATGAAGAGAAAGGTAAGGAAAGACCTTAATGTTGATATCAGTAGGTGGCAAGTCTATAGAGCCAAGCATAAAGTAAAGAAGCTTGTGGAGGGAGACATAGAGAAGCAATATGCACTGCTGAGAGACTACTGTGCGACAGTGCTACACCACAATCCTGGGAGTTGTTTCAAGATTCAAACTGCAGAAGCAAATAACAGAGGAACTCAACCTAGGTTCTTAAGGCTGTATGCTAGGTTGGCTGCACAAAAAAGTGGGTATTTAGCAGCATGTAGACCTATAGTGGGGTTAGATGGATGTTTCCTCAAAGGATCAGTGGGTGGTCAGCTTTTGAGTGCTGTTTGCAGAGATGGGAATGACAATCTCTTCCCACTTGCAATTGCTGTTGTAGAATCCGAGTGCAAGCAGACTTGGTCATGGTTTCTGCTCCAATTACTCAATGATATGGGAAGTGTTCAAGAAAGAGGGTGGGTGTTTATTTCTGACAGACAAAAAGGTCTAGTTGAGACCATAAATGAACTCATGCCAGGTGTGGAGCACAGATACTGCATCAGACACATGTATGCCAATTTCAAAATGAAGTATAAAGGCAAAGAATTGAAGGATCTATTCTGGAAAGCAGCATCTACTGCAAACAAGAATGAATGGCAGTACTACATGAATGAAATAAAAAAGGCTGATCCACCAACTGTTGCTGAGAATGGAGAGGAAGGTCCTTGTGCATTCAAGTGGTTAATGAATGCTATTCCTCAAAACTGGGCCAGGTCACATTTCAGTCCAAGAGCTAAGTGTGATATACTTGTGAACAATATGAATGAAAGCTGGAATAACTACATCATAGATGCCAGAGATATGCACGTCATTTCTATGCTGGAATGGATTAGAAAAGCTCTAATGATAAGGTTTCAAGTAAAAAGAAATGGTATGCTGAAGCATGTGGGAAAGCTTGGTCCTAATATCTTCAAGAAATTGGAGAAAATCAAAGAAGCCAGTGCTAATTGCTTTCCTACTTGGTCTGGGGGGATGCTATATGAAGTAGAGTGCCATGAGGGGCCTCATGTTAGACAATGCTCAGTTAATCTTGAAGCAAGAAGTTGCACCTGTAGGATGTGGGATGTGAGTGGACTGCCATGTAAGCATGCAGTCAGTGCAATATATATGAACAAGCATCAGCCAGAGGACTATGTGCATCCATGCTATACTAGGGAAGCTTATTTGGCCACCTACAACTTTCAAATATGTCCAGTGCCAGGAGAACATGATTATGTCATGACTGGATTGCCACAACTTCTGCCTCCAATTATTAAGAAACAACCAGGAAGACCAAAAAAGAAAAGAAACAAAACAGCTGATGAACAAGGCAGCAGAAATCCTTCTAAGGTTTCAAGAAAGAAATTGGCAGTGACATGTGCCAAGTGCCTCCAAACTGGACATAATAAAAGAGGATGCAAGGGACAAATGCATCCTAATTCTAAGTTGTTGAAGGTAATTTATTTACTTAATTTGTACTTTTCATTTTCATATTATTTGGATAATACTAATTTTTTATCTATTCATTTATTGCAGGCAAAAAATCCCCAACCTCCCAGAGTTAAGAGGGCATCAGTTCCTATTGAAGTACCTGCAAACAGTGAAGGCATTTCTCAACCTGTTCCCTTTGAGGTATTTGTTTTGTTTCAATATTTTATCATTGAGTATTTGTTTTGTCTCAATATTTATCATTGAATATTTTTAAATTTATATATCTAACTAGATTTATTGTTTCTGCAGAATTCATTTGCACAAAGTCCTGCAATTCAAGTACCTGCAGCACTGCATTCAAGTCTCTCCTCCCAACCACCTTTATCACAGTCCACTTTTGAGGTTAGTTTGCATTTCACATTTATTTCATTTTTCAGACCTGATTTGTAAATATTTAACCACCTTTTATGTTTTTTGGTTTAGAATTTATTTTCCCAAACTACCTCTTCTCAACCAACATTACTGCATGGGCCTAATGGAGCATTGTTCCAGAGATCAAAAACAGCTCCAGTTGGTAGTAAAAAGCAGGGAAAAAGGCAAGTGAAAGGTAAGAAAAAACCAGTTTGGATGCCTTGATTCCAAACTGAGTTGAAGTAATTTTATGATTTTTACTTTTTCCATTGAGAGCCATGTTTTTGTTAGTTAATCTAAACTGATCATTTTTTTGTTAGTTGGCTCAGTGGATCTTTTGTTGTCTGTTGAACAATGAACAAGTTATTTGTTTGGTTATTTATTTTGGCCACTTATGCAAAACAATGTGTTTGTTTGTTGAAACAGTTGGAAAATGTTTTTTGTTGGTGAATATTAATTTTGCAGATTATATTTTGTTAATTTTGCAAATTATTTGGCAATTGATATATGCAGTTTATGGAAACAGAGACATTTGTAGTCATTAGTAATAGCTTTTGATTTCAAAACTTACAAACAAGAATTGCAACTGAAATTAAATACAGAAAAAGACATCCAACCACCATTTGCTTCACCATTTCTTGTTTAGCTTCAAGTACTTGAACCCTAGTCTTTATGCCTACAACCATTTGCTCAATTCCCTCTCCAGCTCTAGCTGATGTTGTTCCAGTTGATATGCCATTGATTGAGTAGGGAGTGCACCATCCTTGAAAGCCACAATTTGAATCGGAGCACCCAAAATATAATCGACCATTTGATGGCTTCTCAGTTTCAACAATTTTTATGACAGCTTTTCTTCCACAAGAACATATATTCCCGTGGTATCGTAGATCGACAGTTTCATAGTTGTTTGAAGAAGAAGACATCACAAAAAAAAAAGGGGGGGTGTTGTTCAGCAGCAAAAAAAAAAATGAGAATTAGGGTTTAATTTGGAAAAGATGGTGGGGGTATTTATTAAAGAAGAAATGGTAAATATTGAATGGAAAGTGGTTAAAAGTGGTTGAAATGTGTAAAAATATTAATTTATGGTAAAAAAAACTCAACCAAGTCATTTTCGAGCGAGTGAGATGCACTCTCCGTTAACATTTAACGGATATACTGACGGGCGCTACATTGTGCAAACCACAGGGAGGTAAAAGGCCTATATTGATATGACAGGGGGTAAAGTGCAACAACTTGAAACCACAAGGGGGTAAAGTGCTATTTACCCTAGTAAAAAATGCAAACATCAAACATATATAAATACATATAAATTTGAAAGCTTATGAAATTTGTACAAGTTTTAATGTGTACCTTAAACTTGATACAAGTATTGTACCTCTTTCGGGATTCCTTTCCATTAAGTTCTTTGCACCACCATATTCCCACAAAAAACATTATTGATTTTGGACAACTTTTCTTACAATCAGTTACAACCCCTCGAGCACTATCTAAAACACACAGTACACACAAATTCAAACATTATCAATTTAATAATTCAAACTACTTACCCACTAAAGCTTGAGTCAATGTTCGAAAAATAAATAAAGACAAATAATAGCCATCAACAATCAATGGAGAAGAGCTAGCCTGATTCGCGAATCCAGTTTCGCGTAGAAATGGATAAAAATGTTACCTTTAATGAATCTTTTGACCAGTCGATGGAGAAGAGATGGCCGCTGATTTGATTTGATTTTGAAAAGAAGAACCCTAAGTTGGCGGATTCAATTTGGAGAGATTGTCGCTGCTGGATTTGAGTTTTGGGAAAAGAAAACTCAAGGTTTCGTTGATTCGATTTGAGGAGAAAGGCGTTGATAAAAAAATGGAATATAAGTGGAAAAATAAAAAAAATAAAAAATAAAAAAATATATATAAAATGAAATTTAAATGTGCATTATTGAAATCCGGCGAAAATCTGAACAGAATACACTTTCGGGGCAAACTGCTCCTAGTTTTATATTTTGAAGGGGGAAGTCTCTTTTATACATTTTCAAGGGGGAAAGTGCAAAAAGTTGATTTTTTAAGGGGTGAAGTGCATTTTGTCCATAATTTTAAGTACATATTTTAGATTTTTTTGGGTACATTTTTATTCTAATAATTATTTCTTTCTTTTTTCTTTCTAATAATCATTCAATTCAACAAAGAAATATAAGTAAAAAAAACATGTCTATATTATTTTGATTCAAAAAAAAAAAATTTTGAACAATCAACCACCGAAAGAGCGAGCAATAATCGCCAGGGCGTCGGCAAAGATCCCAACGAGTCTATCCGTATTCGCGACCTCGGCCGGTGCATTATGATTAAAAACCGCCTCGCACGCGTCGACTCCGGCGCGGATCGACTCGGCATTCTTCCTGAGTACCGCCCACGCCTTTGAACTCAATTCGCCGGGGGCCGCCTGGAAATGCTCAAGCGCGGTCTGGTAGAGATCGATGCACCGGCTGTATTGGTTCTTAACGGCCGGGTCCGCCGCACGCATCATGGCTTCGTGCATGTCGATTTTGGTGTTGCCGCCGTAGTACGCCGCCCATTGGACCGCGATCTCCCCCAGCATCGGGGATGCCGCCGTCGCGCTGCGCGGATCGATGTTGAAACATTGTTGGCAGAACGGCGGGTCGACGGTTTGACGGCACACGTCGTCCACCGCGGCGCCGTGTGTTTGTAGAGAGAGAAAAAGCAATTGGATGCTGAAAATTAGGGAGCAACATATGTAGAGAGAGGAAAACTTGGCCATGTTAATATTTGATTCCCGCCTTTTTTTTTCTATTCAATTTGTGGGGTTGTTTTTTTTTCATCTCTAATTCATGTGAATTTATACAAAAATATTTGTAGTATTTTAGTAAGTAACTAAATATCAAATCTAGTTTAATTGTTGAGAAATTAAATGCGTCTGATTTCTTGCTATATAAATCTTATATATAGAAGGAATGTTTTTTATATATATGTATACACTTTTTTTTTCTTTAATCAATCTTATATAAAAAAGGTCAAAATCTTATATCCAATTTAATAATATTTTGTGTCCAATGTTTATAATACATTAATACTAATTTACTTATTATATCGTTAATTCCAGTTTCCATCCTTGAGATGTAGCATGTTGGCACAATGGCACTTTGCACCCTCAACAAAATATTAATATCACTTTGCAATATTGAAATACAATAAACCATGTATAATGCACCTCGAATAAATTTTTTTAAAGATAATTTAATATAGTAGTATTTGTTTAGGATGCCAAAAGTCAAATCAGTTTTTTTCGTATTCACGAAACTACAATGTGAAAAAATTATCAATATATTTAAAAAAATCACAAAAAAATAAATTATTTTACATAATAAATCACATAATTAATAAACACATCATAACGTTGTGAAGCCATGATTTAATGAATGGGGGATCGAATATACATTAAAAAGTTTAAATAAAAAATATCGTAAAAAAAAATTAATGACAATAATGATTGTTCCAAGAATGACGACTCTAGTATTTTCAATTTTGCTATAGGGTGGGTTACGGGAGCACGGAGGCAACGCCTCAAAAAAAACAATAGGATTTTTTATTTTTGTAACTAGTTCGACTATATTAATTTTAATTTAATACCTTAAATTTAAAAAAAAAAAGAAAAAAAATATTCACAAGTTGTTTTTATTTTTTGAAATTTCCAAAAATTCCAATTTTATTCTTAGAATGATAATATCTCCTATTAAAATTCCAAAAGTTGTTCCGATTGTCATTCTTATTGGAATTTCCGAAATTTATGGAATTGGAACGTATTTTTTAGTTCTAAAAAATTCATAACTGTAATCGAGTCTAAAAAATATTGAAATATTTTCTGAAACCATGTTTATGATCCGATTCACCCAATTTTCAATCCCAAAGTAGCATGCATGCAGCCTTCTTTTTTTATTCTTTGTATAAATCAATAACAAATGGGGTTGTCTAGGGTCCGAGAGGGTTGTACTTCTCGGACCGTAAAATATTTAATCTAGTACGTTCAAAATATTTAACATTTAATTTGATCCATTGATTGTTGTGTACGACCTAGTACGATGTAGACGATACTAGGGATTTGAAAAATTAATGTACGAACCTAGTAAAAACACATCGTACACCATCGTACACGCATCGTACTTTGTATAAATTACTTAACTAACCTTATAAGCTCAAATCAATAAATTTAACTATTAATTCAAAAATATTATAATAATCACAATCAATTAACAATTATACGTCGATTTTTTTACAGATCAACAAAGTTAAAACAAGAACAAAAATAATCCATTTTTTCCCTGACCAATCTTCATCGACACATGGATAGAGATGCAATACAAGTATTTTCTGGGTGCCATCTCCGGTGACGAAGAAGTCCGTCTAGATCTCCGGTGACACATATTTGCGTTGTTGTCGGCTTGTCGCGAATTGTGGTGGAGGAATGAAAATCGATGGTGGTGGTAGGTTGAACGGCGACATATGAGAGGATTCCGAATGGGACACCGATCTGAGCAATGCAGACCAAAACAAAGGGGCAAATATGGGTTAGGGTTTGGATAGTTGCATTTAAAAGTTAAATTAAAAAACTAAATCCATGAAAATGAGACCCACATAAAACAGAATCGAAGCGAAGAAACTTGAAATGTTAGATTCTATAATTATAATTGTTCGAATGGGTAATGCCTTATTCCACAGATAAATGTTCTTGATAAGATTTAATATGAAAGGGACGTCCCAATTTCCCACATTCTTCTTTATTGATTCTAAATATTTATCACATGTTTAGTGCAGCTAATTTGAGAAGTAGCTGCAAGTTTGCAGATGGAGATGAACTTGAAAGTTTGCAAAATGTGAACAGAGTGACCTTGATTCTAATTTGCCTAATTCGTTGGTGTAGTACTAATTAATTCTGTATTATCAGTTTCTTGCGGGGAATTTTGATTTGGCGTTTCTGCTGGCGTTCATATAAGCAGCTCGTGTGCCCGATTTACTATCATTTTGGATTGACTTTGAAATTATGTATTCCAATTAATTTACATGGAATCGAAAACTTATCTTCTCTAGTTACAGAAGAATTAGTTCAGATAGTATTGTGGAGCTTCAACATTCGTAGTGCAAGGAACAAAAATAAAACTTTGGAAGTTGATAAATCCAATTTGTTTACTTCTTGACTGGTTCTGACTTAAGAAAGTTGAAATTTACAGAATTTTGTCTTGCCACAAAATATCAAGATTGTACAGAATTTTGTCTTGCCACAAAACATTATTTGATATTATAAATCTTGTCAAATTTCTCTGCCATAAAATGTACAATCAAGATTGTACATTTGATATTGATTTGCATAATTGGAGATCATTGGATTTGAATACTAATGTTTTTGGACGATAAATAGTGGCTTATATTAAGGCCTCGTTTGTTTGGAGAGATTAACCACGATTAACTAAATAATTGGACTTTGTTTGATGTTTGTCATCCTCAACAAATTGCTGGGTCGACCCGCAAATATTATGTCATCAACTTATCATGACTTATCTTGCTTTTTATGTATGTTTTTATTGAATCTTCCAAGGTCCAATAATACAATTGGGTTTCAATAGATTATTTAATCTTATGTTGGCTAATCTTATTTTGGCAACCAAACGAGGCCTTACAATCCGTTTCGTTGCAAATGTTATGCTAAATTGCTAAAACAATCAGTGTTATAAGTGATTTTTAATGCCTACAGGCTACAAGCACAACTTTATTGACCGCAAGGGTGGTCCACTTGGTGTAATGGAAGACTGACTTCTTACAATCCGAATTTGATTAACATAAGAAAATCAAACTGATTTTAGTAGATTGCCAAATGAAAAGGTTCAACAGTTAAATATTGCAAGTCTTGGCAAGAAAAAGAATTGCACGAATAAATGATAAATATACCACGATCTTCTAATATGAAATAACAATACATGCACCAAACTGCTAGTCATTTATGGTCATACAGACACCCTTCAGTTCATATCTATACTGCACAAGTTAAGAAAAAAAAATTAAAAAATTATCCAGATAAATAACCAAAACTATAATGGGTGTTATCTCTATGATACTACCAGGTAAACATATAATATCATTTCATACATCTGACAAGAAACCCCGGCATAAACTCATAAAATTGTTTCGATCAGTGCCTGCAGGAAAATCCTTTAAGAAGAGCGAATTTGGCAAGAATGTCTGCGCCATGTTTAGATACTCCCATTTACTTCATCTGCACAAAAATTAGCATTATAAACACAAATTGATGTTTTTTGTTACTGAACAGATGGACACCTTTTTTCTAAGAAAACATATATACAAAAAGAATAAGATAAAAGTATTCAAGAATCCCGCTGAGAGTTTGATATGCTTCCGTCTGACTGACCTCATCACTCGCAAATTTTGGGTAATGGATATAAAATAGATAAGGATACAAAGAGAACTAATTAAAATTTGAAAGAGCTGTTTAGTAGCACAAATATAAAAACTGAATATATATAATCAAAACTTCACTTATCAAAGTTAGATATTTGCAACATTTGACCAAAGTCCTTAAGCAAGAATGTGCCTTGAATTCAAAATAACATTCATAATCGGTTGCATTCTTAGCTTTAGCCTCCTACTCTTTTACTGTTGATGGTAAAATGGCTAGAATGTAGATTTCTAGGACAAAAAAATATTTTATATCTATATATATATATATATATATATATATATATATATATATATATATATATATATAGTAGAATTCATTCCGCTCCGAAAGAGCCTTGGACAGAAAAGCAAAACGAAGAAGAGGTGGCTTTCCAGGGTTTTAATAAAGGATCTCCAGCAGGGTGTACGTATCCCAGGTGAGCCGGTAGATGAACTCTAGGAGCAGACTTCCAAGCCAACAAAAATAACTAAATATCAGAATATAATAAAACCAAAAGTATATATATATATATATATATATATATTTCTTTTGTTTCTCACCAATCCATATCTTAATTTCCAAGCTCATTCTTTTCAGAAGTAAATGTGAAGTCATTAAATCCTTGCAATATGAGAAAAAAGAGAAAATTAGTGATTGTATTGATTGATATTTCTCAAAATATAAAACAATTGCATATGTACTATTATAATATATGACAACAGTTGTCATCCTCATCACATCTATTAGAAACTATCCAATAATCACGATGTCAGTTTTGTAAGAGAGAATAGCCATCGTAGGTTGAGACAAGTAAAAACTTAAACATCGAGCAGTAAATTTGGAAGACATACAAAAAGTCTGGTTGTTTCTTAATCAAAGAGGAATTTTAACAAATACCTTGACTACATAATTTCAATTTTTATATGCATATACAAGAACAAATGGACATACCTTGCACTATGCCGATTGCCGTGAATAATCACAGTTGATTTTTTCCCCAAAGAAGTTTGCCGGAAAGGGAGGTAAAAAGATCGATGATTAATGTTTATTTTTCTTGAGAGGAACTTAAGGATCGGAGGATAATGAAATTAGATTTAAATTTGAAGAAGAAGAGTTGAAGACTAATCAGATTTGACGTAATATTATTTTTTATTTGGTATATATTTTTAAATTCGTTGATATGTAATTAACCTTTAAATTATTAAATTTCTAATTAAGTTTTCAGTTAATTAGAAGGAGTTTTATGTAATTTTATTTGGTACGTACTAATTCTACATGGTACATTTTTATTGGTTGATTACGGTCCGAGAAATACAGCCCTCTCCGACCGTAGACAACCCCATAACAAATTAACAACAATAACTTTATTTTGATATAAATCATTCATCATTATGTTAAATTAATAACAATAATAATATCAAAATAAATAAATAAAATAACTATAATAATATGAAACTAATAAATAAAACTGAATCACTAAGACATGAGTGCGTCAGCTATCAAAACCATGGCGTCAGCAAATATTCCGACAAGTTTATCCCCGCTCGCGAACGGCGAACTATTGTTAAACAACGCCTCCGATCCGTCGACGTCGGCGCGTATCGCCACCGCCTGCTTCCTGTAGTCGGCGTAGTTGCCAGCTTGGCCTTGATGAAGGTCATTCATCATCGCCCCGAAGCAGTCGAACATGTGGAAGTAGAAAGTCGAGCACTTCAAGTATAGGTTGACAAGATTCCGGTCCTTCTCGTTCGCCATGCGGTCGTCGACCTCGCCTTTTGTCGTGGCGGCGGCCGTCAACCCCACGTCGACGGCCACCGCCGCCAGCAACGTCATGTTGGCGGTCGCACTGCGGCCGTCAGCATCGGCCGCGAAGCCTTGTATGCACAAGGGTGGGTCTTTGGTTTGGTTGCAGATATCGTCCACTGCAGCACCGTTTGTTTGTAGAGAGAGAAAGAGTAATTGGAGGATGAAAATTAGTGAGAAACAATTGTAGAGAGAGAAGAAGGTGGCCATGATAATAATTATTATTTTGTTTTTCAATTAGTGATTGGGTGTTTTTTTTTTTTTGGTTCAGTAATTAATTCGAATTTATAAAAAACTATATTGTAATATACTTGAGTAATTATATTTCAAATTCTACGTAGTGAGCGAGAAATTAACCACACCTAATTCCTTATTACTCAAATCTTATATAACAAATAATGCTTTGGAAATTAAAAGATTTTTTTTCTTAGAATACAATATAATATTTCTTATTTTAGGGAAAAGTCGAAAATATATAAGGCATTCACGGCCGAAAGGGTGGAAGGAAACCCCTTTTCCAAACAATCCAAAACGCCAAAATAAGCTAAATTACGAGTAAGGCGATTACCATGCACGTCTTGTAACGAAGGAAAACGAGGAAACGAGAAATAAATTAAAGAATCGAACGATTGAAGAGTGTGATTCTTGCCAGTCAAGCAAGCCATCACATGCGGACAGTCTCCATTAGAACGTCTAGAACAATCTAATCAGACTCAAATCTACGTATGTAATACCGACTGAAAATAATAATTAATAGAGAATTGAACCGTATATCAAAAATTTCTATGATTAAGAACTTAGACATTTGATTTATATGATTATATCTAACAATTTATGGACAAATACAGACTAGGATGCAAGTCGGGATGGAATTTTTGAATTCCGTCGATTCAATTTTTTCTAACTATGGAACAAATACCTTCATTAAAATATTCCATATCCCAATTTCCGATTTATTTCAAACTCTTTTTGGACTGAAACTTAAATTATATATTGTTTTGAAAATTCTAATATACGATTCAATTTTGATATTCAACAATAATTTCGATAATTCTTTTTTCTTCCCGTAATATTATATTAAATTATTATTTTATATCATATATGTTCAAATATATTACATGATGTAATTTGTATAATTTGTCAAGTACGACTAGATTATTTTTTTTATTTAATTCATTTACATAAAGACATAATTAATTTGTGATTTTTTTTTTGTTTCTTGAAATTTCCAAAAATTCCAATTAAGTTCTTAATATGTCCAATTAAAATCTCGAAATTTGTTTCAATTGTGATTTTTATTTTCGAAATTTCCGTAATTGGAACAGATTTTTGAATTCCGAAAAAATTCGGAATTGGCATCGAAGGTGTTATTTAATTCATTTCCAAAAATATTGGAATATTTTCAAAATGCATGTTTCTGATCCGATCCATCTGACTTCGAGTCCCAAGTAACATCAACGCCACCATATTTCTTCTTTTTCTTTTTTTTTTACAAATCAATGGATTAATATTTTCATATCATACCATTTCAATATATAATAATGAAGCCATAACTTTATTTTTAAGATTAACAATCAAATTCAAATGTTGTTCTACATATCAATCTCGAGTATTTAATGTTGGGTACTCGTACAGAAGTATACGTATATATAAGACAGTTAAAAAATAAGATAGAGGGAAAGAGATACGCAAACAGATATAGTTAAAACACACGAAAGTATACATATATATAAGATAGTAAAGAATAGAGGGAAAGAGATACACAAATAGAAATAGTTAAAACGCATGGAACTGCTATTGTTTCCAGACGTCTCAGTTCCCTATTGTCCAGTGTTCAGTCCATAAATTCAAGAAGGTGGCGACTTCAATTGGAAACCAGTACCAAGCCGTAATCACTTAAACTGTGAGGTCCTGTTCCACAGCAATAGTCACACTGAGTTGACTCACCAACACATGCACATTCAACCAATCAAAAGAAACACTCTCACACTCAGTAAACCACAGTTTCCTCTGACTGGAAGACTCAATCACTAATAAAAGAAAAAAAAAGTTGAAGGAGAAAACTCAGAGATGCGTATAGATAAGTGTTGCATATGTCCATCTCTGTAAGGGCAATATAAATAGGCACATAACCAACGGTAGGAGACAACAACGTTGCTATCACTTCAAAGTTAGCTATATACGGCGAAGACTCTATAAAGAGTTGCCGGAAAAGACAAGTATTGTTCATAGAGAGAGGAAGAAAGGAGGAAAGAGAAGCGACCCATAAACGAAGTAAGTCTGAGCGAGTGGATATCTACGATTAAACGAAATAATCTGGACGGTCAAGACCTTGACTATGCGCTGGACTTTATTCGGCTTGGGCATTTATAGGAGTTGGGCCGCCGAGAATTAATTAAGTTTAGACCCAATCCCAAAATTTGAATAGTTTAATTAGCTCAACTCATCAAGCTTCTTAATTATTTTGCTCAAGAATCATAAAACAAAATCCTCAACAGAAAAACAAAAAAAAAATAAAACAAAAAAAAAACGAAAAAAAACAGAAAAAAAAAAATCCTTCTTGTAATAAAATATAAAACAGTCATAAACACAATTAGTTCATCAATCTAAAAAAAATACTGTAATTTATGTTTAGCTGACGTTGGATGAACATGGTTTATCAGTGTAATTAGGTTTGTTCTTGAAAAAGTCATCAGGTTCTTCATATTTAATTAGTTTCTTGATTGTTTTCTTAATTTCAACCTCTACTTGATCAGCATGAATATTAATTCTTTTTGTCAACAAATCCTAAACTAAAATAACAAAAAAAGTTCACTTGCTACCCATGAATCCTTCAAATGTTTGAAAATACTACCTCTGAGTTCTCTTTCAACTCTAAATTATTATATATTTGATCAGACTTTTTCCACACAAAAAATATAATAATAATAAAGAACCACACCTTCCTAAGTTAAACCTTTTCAAGTTAATGTAGTACTAATTGTCAACTTCAGTTATGGAGATTTAATAATAGGGTAAATTAAAAGTAACGTGAAATTACCAAAAAATCCTTCGTGTTTAGATAGTTATAATCACCTTCTTAATTATGAGTTTTCTTACACGTTCATCTTTGCGGTGTCAAATTTAATGGAATCTTTTAGATTATATGGAATATTCTCCAGTTTGTACCTGTTTTACCTCATTCGAGCTCCACATTTTGAAACAAGATCATTCGAGCTCCACATTTTGAAACAAGATGATCGTAAGATGTATCTCTTGGCTTGTAAATATCAGATTGTGGTGCATTGGAAACTGCATTTTTGCACAAAACAAGTACAAACTAGAGAACATTATACAGAATCTAGAAGACTATGTTGAATTTGACCATAAGGGTGGACGTGTAAGAAGATTCATTGTTGAAGGAGGTTATTGTAATTACCCAAACACCATGATTTTTTTTCGTAATTTGACCTGGGTGTGCCGGTAATTTACCTTTAATAAAAGGGCAAGTTATGGTCACCCCCGAGTTATGGTCAAACTACGAAAAACCTCCTCATGTTTAGGTAATTACAGCCATACCCTCAACTATGTACTATCTTATGAAAAGACCCCTTCAGAGGTAAATTTAGAGATGTTAATTCGGTAAAACTGAACCAAAATTTCGGTACGCCAACATTTTATACCATTTACCGAACTGAATATACGATTTTTTTCGGTAAATAACCGAATTACATAAATTTATGTAAAAATATTTAAAAGGATTGGGTAACTGTAATTAGAGTCGTGCTATTTCCACCTCCAAAGTATCTCAATTCACCACCAAATATTATAAAATGTCATAAATACCCCTCAAATTTATAATCCACCACCCTTCCTTATATTCACTTAATCCCCCGTGTTCTAAGTTATTTCTATTTTTTTCAATGAAATATTTATTAGAAGATATTAAAACTTCCATATCAGATGATCTACAGATATGTAATTCTTTTTCTTAGGAAATAAAATTATATTAAGCCAAACTGGCAAATTTCGGAGGATGTTAAGGACCTTCTATATGCACTCTTAATTTATTTTTCAAAAAAACGTGAAATTTTGCTCCTTTTGACATTCGAAAATATTTTTCTTTGACGAAAGTATTATTCACTTAAGGTGGAAAGGGTGAGATTTTCAATGAAAATGGTGGGGTTTTTTTATAAATATTTTAATGCGGTAGATGGTTTATAAATTTGTAAATAAGATAGGTGCACGAAGAAGAAAGGTGTAAAATGGGAAATATATTTAACTTGGTGGTGAAATAAGATATTTTGTGGGTGGAAATAGCACGTCTCCTGTAATTATAAATTACCCAAACTAAATAATTTTTTTTTAATTGGCTCTTACCTCAGGGGTATAGCGGTAATTTACCTTTAATAATATAACATGCTCTACCAGCTTTCTTGAAATTATTTCATTCAAACATTAAATTTTTCTCATTTGCTCTACCTAAAGAAACCAAAGGCAGCAGAAAAAAATGAAGGCTAATAATATCCAAATCCAACACATAGTATTCTTGATAATTTTGCTGCCAATTATTAAGCCTTCACATTCATCCGATCCCGATCCGCTACAAGACTTCTGCATCGCCGATCTAAAATCCCCACCGTCGATCAACGGCTACCCATGCAAGCCCACCGTAAACGTGACCTCAGACGATTTCTTCTTCGACGGCCTAAGCAAAGAAGGAAACACATCAAACAGCCCCATGAAGAGCTTCGTCACGCAGGGACACGTGTTGGCGTTTCCAGGCCTCAACACGCTCGGCATGTCGATGAACCGAGTCGATATAGCCGTTGGTGGGGTCACCCACCCCCACACCCACCCTAGGGCTACCGAGTGCGGAGTCGTCGTCAAGGGGAGAATGCTTGTCGGGCTTATTACGAGTGGGAACAACGTCGTTTATTCCAAGAATTTGAGTGCCGGTCAGGTTTTCGTTATCCCGAGGGGTTTGGTGCATTTTCAGATGAACGTTGGCCGGGTGAACGTGCTCGTTTTTACCGCGTTTAATAGCCATTTGCCCGGTACGGTGCAGATATCGAAGAATCTCTTCGCTTCGAAACCTTCGGGTAATAATGGTGTTCCTGATGAGGTTTTGATGAAAGCTTTTCAGGTGAATAAAACTGTTGTTGATGAAATTAAGTCCAATCTTTCTTAAGTGATTATTATCTTATTGTATCTGTATAATATTGTCATTAATAAATTATTATTGTTACAGTGTAAGAGTAACAATTTTATATCCATTTGAAATAATATATATAGATGTATGAAACTGAGGGGTGAAAGTTGGAGCGGAATTTTCAATTTTTGCTGGTTATGATCGGAAATAATCCAACTTTAATTTGGAACAATAATTTTTGTTCTGGATTTTAGTTTTCCAATTGTTTTTTATTGGAATTGGAAGAATATATAAAATAAATAGAATTTTTCAATTTTTCGATCTGACTATAATCCAAAATTAAAAAAATCCGGTTTTTATATTAATATTTATTTATTTTACGCAAAATTATATTAGTTAAAATTTCAAAAATTGTTCCAATTTTGATTTTTATTGGAATTTTGAAATCGAAAGTGTTGTTTGATTCCCGAGCAATTTTCCTCTGAATTGCTCGAACTCATAACTAGATGATGTTTGCAAAAGCTTTTAAAACCAGCTTTTTATAGCTCATAATCTGTTTTTTGGTGTTTTGCAAAATTATATTTTGGGTAAAATTCATTTTGCACCCCTGTACTATGATAAATATATCGTTTACCCCCTGAAGTATTGAAAACATCAAATACCCCCCTGCCA